AGCGAGGAAAACACCACCTGTGCTTCCCGTGTGTTTGAACTTGTTGACCAATTTCAACCAAATTGGATGGCAAGACACCAAAATGCCTGCCCAGGCAGAGAAAAAATGGCTTTATTAATGCATTCTCTGACAGACAAGGTGAATTCACACCCAAAGACACCATAACATTTCCACGGGAGAAAACACCCCTCTGTATGTCTCACCAGTGGTGAAAAACCTTTAACTACATCTCATGTCTGACTAGAGACCCAAGCCACACAATTCCAGAGGTAAATCTGCAGAAAATCAAACTTCCAGCTCTAATGCCTGTAGAAATACAGTGAAATGCTGTTTCAGAAAGTGAAGAAGCAGCCCTTTAACTGCCCTGGTGTTACGAAAAAGCAGACACACTCTCCATTGTCAAAAATCTTTTCATGAATGACTAGGAAAAAACATAAGCTTGATTACACTAAAACTAAAAGCTTAATGTTGGAGACTTGCATTGAAATACTAAGATCAATATGAAGAAATGCATTCACAATCAGAAATACATGATTTTGGGGAAATCACCTGGTAGAAAGCATTTGTACTAAGATTCAATCTCACCATTAATGAAGTTAATAGCGAAACGTATTCATTGCTACATACACCAAGTTCCGACTATTCAAATCCTAGGTACCTAGGATCCTACAGTTCTTCTGAGTGCAATTTCGTGTCTTATAGAAGCATTGTTACTTGCAGAATTTACAAACAAAGAAACAATAGCCAAATTCCTTTCTTTTTTGTTCCTTAAAATACCCTGAATAATGCAGGGCCTCCTGGGCTCCCCATGGAAAAACCACACTATAATTAGGGACTAGCGAGGGAAGAAAACTCTGTCAGGTTCCTGTCACAGACATTTCTTTAAATCATTTGCTGTTTGCCACAGAACAATTGTTCTGTGTAAAACACAAACTGCACAGAGGACAGTCAGCATTGCTGCTGGGACTTTGTGTCTCCTCGGCTACATGTTTGGAAAGAACAGAATCAGCTTACTAATACGTTCCTTTTGCTGGAAGATTCCTAATGCTACAGCTTTCACTCCTACCCTATTGCCAAGTTTCCTCGGCCACAACCTCAGCCAAGTACTGGCTCTAATGGGCAAATCAGGATTTTAGCCAGAGTCCCTGCCATGCTGCTTGTCACTTCCATGGGTCGATCAGCAGCAAGCGCAAGCGTAGAGGTGTTTTTTGGCAGTGCAGAGGGGGAAACATCTCTTCTAAGCATCTCTTCCTCCCGCATGTTCAGTAAATGACTGCTGCAGATGTAGCTATGCTCAGTCAGGGGAGGAACTCATCTGTTCAAATCATGCATTCTCTCTACAAAGAGCAGCTTCGTTTGCACAGACTGTCTGCAATGGGAATTCTCCTCTGCAGAGATTTAGCATCCCACTGCAAAACAGGCTATGCAGTTCCCCATTTGTTTTCTCTAAATTATGATAGTTAACAAGAAGAGTACCTTGTTTCTGTGTTCTGATACCTACTGTGCCAACTGTATTAATTCATAAGATTTACCATTCTGTAGAGGTGCCATTCTTTTCCCTTGGGAGCCAAAGTTGGGCTTGGTCTTAGCAGATGTGATTTTGTTTACCTGCCTGAAGCTTCATAGCTTGCTAAGTGTTTGCTTATATCCCCTGCAACCCACTTGGCTTACGATTTCTGAAAAGACAATGAGTTTCAACTGTATTCACCAGCTCTCTTGTACGGAATCTCAAAGACTGCTATAATAGCAAAGGGTTAGGAAAAAATACTGCCTACGCGTTGTTTGTTTACTCTGTGATGTAACAGCACCTTGGTCATTAACTAGACATTAATAGGTCAATGCAGATGAGACACATGAGGAGAATGGACTTAATCCCTGAGCTGTACAATAATGACCTGAACATCTTCTTCATCAATTTTACACCAGCACACCTCTCACCAATGTCGCTCCTAACCTAGCATGGTGAAAGTGCTCAGCAACAAGTCAGAGTGGGATTTCTTGGGAAGGGTAATAGTTCTTCACAAAACCAGAAGTATCTGAGTGCCAGCTACTCCAGTTTTTCTGTTTGTTCATTTCCACACTGGTGAGACCCACAGGTATCCTTCGAAGGCTGGAGCAGTCCCAGAAGCAGAAAACTGGCAGTTGTGGAGCACCTTTTCCTGCCAGTAAGTTAACATTGCCAAGAACTAAGCAGCTGATAATACATGCTTACATGCCAATGGTACACTTCTGCACAGCCCAGTGGTTTCTTTTGGTAGGGGCACTGCTTGAAGTCTTGCTGCCATGATATGGGAACAGGATAGACTTCTCTATCAGCAGACAGCATCCACCTTTCCCTTTGCCTGGAGATGAACTCCTACTGTCACTGACTTCAGTGGAGCACATTTGTCACCATTTACTGACTCATGTGAAGGGAACTAATCTTTTTTCCAGTTAAAAATCAAGTAAGTCAGGAGAACCACTTTGTTTTGTCTGGGTACAAAATGTTTTCCCTGCCAAAGCAACTAAATACACGAATAAATAAATATCTTGAACTTCTACACAAGTCAGTGGTGACCTCCATCTTGATTTTAACTTCATATACGCACTGATGGGGAGAGACAACCTTTATTGCATAATCTTGAAGATTAAGCCTTAGAAGCAACCCCCAAAGCATTCTTACCCATTTTACAAACACAGAAACTGAAACACAGAGAGCTTATATGAATTATCTTACATCACGGAGATTCACCAGAGGACAATACAATCCATCAATCCTAATATTTAGTCACTTTCTGTAACTACTGGACTTGTGTTCTTATTTTAAAATTTACAGTAATCCTCTCTGTGAAGAAGGCATCACCCTGTTTTATAGATGTAGAAATTGAAAGAGAAGCTGAAGTACAAATATTGAAATGTGGGTATCAGCCAATTTCATCCCTATATATACAGCTAAGTAAGTATCTGAATTCCAGAAGTGCTTCAGTTCAGACATTCAAGTTGGAAAATGCTAGTTAAACCAGACAACTTCTGTGTTTGTGGTTTTTAAATACATATAGAAAGAAATGTGTTCTGACCTTCATGGATATGTCCAAAAACATGAAGCCTTGGCTGTATTCGTCTCTGGACTGTGTTCAGCAGCTCAACACACCCTACCCGTTGCATTTTCTTAGGAACCCAGTCTAGAAAACCTTTGGAAAAGAAAGGAAAGCTTTAAGAGAAGACAGGTTATCTGCAAAGCTGTACTGCTATACAGTATTTCTAAGATTTCATGTCTCGTGGCTTTTCATAAGCAGCTCCAGAAGAACTGACATGGAAAAAACAGTGTTTGCCTTGGTAAGTAGAAGAGAAAGGAAGCAAAAATACTTGAGTAAAACCATAAAAGCTCATCCGAAGAAAAAGGACCATGAGAACTCTTGCCAGTGGTTTTTCAAGGAAAAAAAAAAATCACTGCAATTAAAGCTTTTTTGCACTGCTCTTAATGGGAAAACTCAATGCTTTATCCATTCTTCTTCCTTTAAGAGAGTGAGGTGTCAAGAGCAGTATGTCCAAAGTGAGTCTCTGAAGAATCTAAATCAACATTTAGCTATTTAAATCTAGTCCTGGGATCTAGTTTTTAAAATTGAACATTTTAGCTGATGTAATGGAATCTATGTTGCTAAAAATAGAACTATACTGTTATCACATTGAATTTTGCAGTAGTGGATCAGGTGAGGAACCCACAGCATGCTAAAAACAACATCCTCAAGTAAAACTGGTTTAAGCGTGTCATGACACAGCAAGCCCCACTAGCCTATATCTATAGGCCTCAGATAGGAAGAGAAACTCAGCCCTTCTGCAGTAGATTTTAAGTGCTACATTTACTTGCATGAAGTTTGTATAAAAATGCATTTTTTATGAATACAGACAAAGATGTACACCAAATTGCTTATATGTCTAAAAACATACTGCAGGGGGATGCTTACTGCCAACTGAAGTCTCGTGTTTCCTTCAAAATACTAGTATAAGAAGAATGTTGTTGTATTAGAAGGTTTGCAATAACCAATCTTGTTTTTCTTCTATTGTTCTGTCCTTTTCATCAGGCTCAAATTTGGAAACCTAAAAGATACAATCATTCTGTTTTTCTTTATTTGTTCTGGTACTTTCCCTGTCATAGCTTTGTATCTCTGACTTAGATTGCTGCAATAGAGTGAATATATTGTGCCTTTGAGAAAATGGTAGTCAGCCAGAGAGGTATAGAGACTGGACCTAGTTTTCATATGCTTACTTTTGAGGTCTGCTCAAGCATGGCTAAATAGCAGCTAACCAACTGGCTTGAAAGACCAGAACTGTGGTATTCAAGCTCTTAGAAAAGCTCTCAGTTTTGCTAGAGCTTCAGGGTAGGTTCACACATTGAGAAAGACCTCTTTAGATGCCAGTGCTTGAAAACTGGGCTCAGTATACTGTGGGGTTTTATGAAAATGGTAAAAATTTGCCCTCGTATCACCGTTACTCAGAGAGCTAAGTCCAATTTTCCGAAATGAGTTGGGAATACAGCACCCTAAGTGTCAAAAAGAGGAAGTTCTGATAATGGTCATAGACTCCTAATTCATTCAGACGCCTCTGAAGTCACTGCTTGGCTCCTGTCGGGAGGAGGTACAAAGGCAAAGCCCCGCTGAATTACAGACAGAGCAGGGCACTGCTCAATTCTGGTAGCTGATTTTACTAGTCATTCTTGGTATCCAATGCAGGTCAAAATTCACTGTAGGGCATAAAAAGTATTAAAGATGTCAAACTGCAGCCAGCAACTCTTCTGGAATCCAGTCATGCTTTTGTCACAGCAAACGTCTTGTAACCATAGGTTTTGTTACTTCAATGATTTGAAACAGTTAATTGTCAAAATGTCTGTGGTGAACATAAAGCCAAAAGTATTTCCACTTCAAAAACTTCACAAACAATAATCCATAAAATTAACTTCTCCATTAAATTAAGCATTATTTATGTTGAACATGTTTTTGTTTACATGCATTATCACCCTTCTGAAGCTTTCCCATATGTTTGCAGCTTATTATGTACACCTGACTACACAAACTAAGAATAATTGATTACACCTAGCTAACAATTAGAGTTCATCTTAGGGGTTTTTTAATGTTTGGTTACTTGAAACAGGTTTCTGCAGCTGTCAGGGAAGTATAAATCTTTGTCACAGACAATCAAGCAGACAGCTACAAATGAAGTCTTAAAGGTGAAATTAAATTAAAAACAAAGAAAGAAAAGAACAGTGAACTTTTTGAAGATAAATAAAAGAATCACAAATGCAGATCTTTAGGAATCAGGAAAAAGACTTTAAAGTTATACTATACATAAAAGTAACAAAAATATGCTGATGTAGAAATGAGCATTAGCACTGATCCTATAATCATGAATACAATATTTCATAAGCTATGAAATATATGTCATATCTTTATTAATAATAAACAGGTTACTAATAAAATGGTCAGTAAAAGCTGCTTTAACCTTTGTTTTCTCATCCTGTGTGAACCTCCTGTGTATCCCTGCCCTGGTTTCATCCCAAAGCACTACTCTAAAACAGAAAAAAAAAATTACTCAGATTTTTGTTATGTACCTAACTGAGTTAGAAACACAAAGTCCGTTAACTCTTAATGGTGCTTCTGCATCTAAATCATGCAGGCAATTTTAAATCTATCTAATAATGTAGTATTAATTAGTTTAGGAGGATGCGCACTCTTTTGAAGTGGGAGAATGAGAAAGCAGCACAGAAAATTGATGATGGACAGAATTTAGGCAGCCATGCTGGAGAAAAAAGAGGAATTTGCAAGAGCACTGATTGCTATTTATGATCATTAGGAACAGCTCTAGTGATGCTATCCAAGATCAGAACAACAGTAATCAGCTTTCTGGTTAAAATAATTGCCTGGGAGGGTCAAGGAGGATCCTGTCTCCCAAAATGTCTGTGGACACAGATACACAATAAGGAGGTTCTGTAAGTTAGGCAGAGTGCTCATTTCTTTTGAAGCGTCATATATTTGTTGCCATGGGTGTCAGGGAGACCAACAGCTGATGCCCTCAGGCAGAGGGTTCTGTGCCTGAGCCATCTATTAATGCATCAATAAGACAAAAAAACGGGACCTTTTAAAAAAGAAAATCCTTGGAGAACGGGAAGCTTAAGAATTCAAAAAAAAAGAGAACAAATACTGAGACATGGAGATGGGGGGAATTCAAGTTACCCCACTACAGTCAATGGAGATGGGCGGCTCTTCCTCAGAATTACTACAATTATTAAATCGCTTTTAAATTACTAAATTTACTATTAAATTTATTATCAAAGCATGTCTGTTGAGTGCCAGCTCTGCAGTGCTCTCTAGAGGTTCTCCTCCCTCTGCTGATCCCAGAGGCTGCCTGGAGAGGCCAAGTGGCTAAATTAGCAAGGTGGCTGAAGCTGGGTGGTGCAAACCCCTCTCTCCACCTTCCAACACTGGATTTCAAGTGCTAGATACAGGGATATTCTTCGGATTAGCTGAAGGCTGGATTTCTTTACAGCTGATCAGCTGGTTTTAAAAATGGCTTTAAAAGTGCTGAAAAAGCTTCTGAAAAAGTTTTAAATATGACTTATAAAAAAAACTGTATCAAAGACCCAACATCATGCCTTGGACCCTAATAGCGATTATCCCCAGTACTAACCATTTGGAGCTGATATCTCAAGATCTAAACAATTAATTTCTGCCATCCACTTTTATGATAAGGACCATATTAAAATCAGTCCAAGGCATGGCATGAGACTCCACTTAGGTGAAGTATCAAAACACACACCCTTACTGTGAGAAACTGTGCTCACAAAGAAGCCCTTTCCCCCAGGATTAGTGAGCAGTGGAATGCAAACATGTCTTTCTAAAGAAAACACAAACCCTTTAGACACTTTCTCCTCCAAGCTCTGAAAGAAGAGAAGAAAGGGTGGAAGACAAGAGGGTTTTAGCTTCAGGAAATTGGGGAATCTAAAGGTTTAAAGAAACCAACTGCCTTCATTTCACACAAAGCACTCCTCCGCAGTAAGACCCAGTAGAACACTTAAGTACATGCTTCACTTTCGTGTCCATTTATTAAATTAGTGAGAGTTAAACGCATAGTTGCATTAAATATAGCTTCCTGTATGTTAAATACATTGAAAAACATGTTAAAAGCCTTAAGCCTTACTGGACAAGTTTCTGTGATTACATTATTTCCATAACAGAGATAATTTCACTATTATCTAGGAATACAAGAAATCTCTCCTGGCTTTTGTATCACCTGTATTAATATTTGTAAAACACATGCAAAACTACTTCTTGTTGGTCTGTTAGTATTGTCAGATTGTATTAAAGATAGGCAATTCACCCATGCTGTCCAAAGAACAGGCAAACAATGGCAGCATTTAGGTTTGTGAGGCAGAAGATGCACCAAGTCAGCATGATGAGGAAAAACACAGACTCTGGGTACTTGTTGGTGGGGGAATGCTACTGCAAGTGAGGGAGAGAGACAGTGCTAAAAAAAATAAGATCCCAATCCCGCATTTCTCTTCAAGCAGGCTCCATGCTTTAAATCTACTAATTTCACCAGTGGCAGAGTGGACAGATGCACAGGAAAACTAGACCTTGCTTATTGATAAAGCTCATTAAGGCTTTATGTGTTAAGGCTTTATTTTTTAAGCCATTATTTAATTCCCTACCATTGAGCATAGGTAATCATGAAACATAAACTTGAGCTGAAGTCCTGGTGCTGCTGAAATCAGTACAGATGTTACTTTTGACTTTTGTAAGTCAGGATTGCACTCTTTGTTTAAGGAGAGCCATCAGTTACTGTATAGTCATCTGAAACACACAGCTAAGAGCACTAGTATTTTCTTACCGAGAGGTGGTCCATGTGTTATAAGAATATCTATTCCATCTGGAATAAGGTTCCATTTCTCTAATAGTGCTTGGCCTCGTGGAAGATTAAAGCCCCAGCCATAAAACCAAGGTTGCCTGCCAAGAGAGGAGGAGAATGTCTTCAGTGCTACTTCCATGTACTGGTTATCTAATTAAAATACGGAGATTGACTCTCTACTAGCAGGGAATTTGGAGACACAAATAGCATTCATTTTCTTCTTTGTGTGCACAGTAAAACCCTCTTTCCATACAACCAGTGTTATTTAACTTGTGTGGCAAATCAGTGCAGTCCTTACCACTTTCAGCAGGCAGCATACAGTAGAATATTCACAGTATTCCTCTAACTAGGTGAAAAATAACTCTTACAAGACCTGGATACCAAGATCTCCATGTGTGGATTAGCATGCTGGACTCCCACAGCATCTAGAACACCTGTCTCAGACACCTAGGTGTGGATATATGTTTCACATTGGCTCCCATCACGTTTGGCCTTTAGCCTATGACAGGCTGCGCAAGGACAGACCCTGGCACAATGACAGATCCCGCTCCAAAGCTGGAGACCTCATCTATGCTGTTTTGTTTCCCTAATTGGAAGCATCCCATCAGAACAAGAATACTGCTTCTTTTCTTACATAGAATTTTCTTCTGTCCTCTAATGTGTTGACTTGCTTTTAAGTAGGACTTTCCATATTCAGGATTTCTTATCAGACGGGTATTTACATTTTTTAAAACATATTTATGCAGCAGCTCATCATGGAACAGTGGGACTGTAACACTGCCAGTCAGAACACAATTTATCCGTATCTTGCTATCCCATTGATTAAAAAAAAATGTATTTCACAGCAATTATATCACAGTGGTAAATTATGCCTTGCTGACTATGCTCTAATTCTAGCTCATAAAATTGAGGGGTTAGTTTTAGGCTGGAATTTTTTTGTAATTTTTTGACTGATGTGTTCTGGCCATATCCGTATTTGGAGAACAACAAATAGGCTGCTGTGATTTAATAAGGTTTATGATAATTGCAGCATTAGTGTTTATAAATACATACACATCAACCAGAGTTCCCTTTGAGATGTTACTTTGTTGAGGAAAGCTTTACACTCTCTCACTGCATCAAAAGACAGAAAGAATTCTTTCAAACAAATTCTCTGAACTCCACTTTATATCATGTATGGCAAAGACAAAAAAAAAAATGCCCATAAAGCTATTATTCATCCTCTTCCATTACTGATACTTGACTAACATTTAAAAAATTAGCACATCTGCAATCTTCATGATGATGTATTTCCCACTTTTCCTTTCGGAATGCTGTACAGCACATGTCTATTGAAAACAGCTTAAGAAATAGAGCTTGCTAAAACATAAAGGGATGTGGCTTACTGGAGGGAAGAAAAGAAAATTCTGCTACAAGGAAAGGAAGAAAGGAGCTTTGCAGAATGTTTCCTGCCTTTCTTCCACAGATAAAAAAAGCCTCAACTTTTCTAGACAGATGACTGAAAGGCTTTCTGTGTCCACGGCTAAGAGCTCATTTCCTAGCTCTTCATCACATAGCACCCTGGATAACAAGGGTCTGGATAAACAGGTGTCCCAGGGGGGAAAGAAAAAAAAAGGTGAAACGGTGTACATCTGCCACTGGGACGAGAAATACATCCCAGCCTCCAGAAGCTGTGATGAGGGAGGTGAAGAAGGTGTGTGAAGAAGAGATGCTAATAGCAGTAGCAATGAAGCGGAAACTTTGTTCTGAGTCACGTTGCTCAGACCAGGGCAGCTGGCTGAGAAAAAGATATATCCATATATCAGGGATATGAAATCACACTTTTCTGGTTACCTGTTCATCTCCTAGTAGCCTTTCCTCATAGGAGGAATAGCACCTGGCTCACAGGTACATGACTTCTCACCTTCCTACTGCTGGGGTGGTAACTCATGGTCTAGTTACCGGCTTGTTTTCCAGTAAGCTACCAGCGATGTTCCTGTATAACACTGTCATGCAGAACCAAACCACAGTCTGTGGAGTCTGATCAGCCTGTCTTTTATGTTCAGTTCACCATTGACAGAATGGGAGTATTTTTATCTCACAGGAAAAAAAAACTGAAGTCTGCGACGTGCTCGGATATTACAGAAGTAGGAGGCTTTATAGAGGTTAGGCTTTTTCTAAACTCTCCATCCGTCCCTGTCTTGGGATTGTGTTCTACACCTTACATGCCAAGTATCTTTCTTCACCACGATGAAAATATTCAACTGTTTGGCAAACTGTCTTTAGGCCCAGAACAAGTTTTCCAGGAGCAAAATCTCACTGACAGAAAATATTTGCAAGGGCAAATGGGAGGCAAACGAAGTGTAGGCATAGTAAATCATGCTTTTAAAGCCACTGACGGCTTCAATGAATACGGGCCCTGCTGCCACCCGTCGCTCGCCCCGGTGCTGCTGGGCATGGACAGGACTGTCCCCATGTCCCCGGAGGGAAGGGAGACGAGGCGCCATCCTGCATCCCGCAGGTGTGCCAAACACAGCAGAATGGGCCGTGGTCACTGCGAAAGAAACCAAGGGGAAAGATCAATATTTGCGAAAGGTCAAAAATATATGAAATAATTATTTTAAGGATACAGTGAAGTATTTACAAAGAGAAATAATCGCGACTGTCACAGCTCTTGCCAGAAGTCAGCTTAATCCGGCTGAAGTCCGAATGACCACGAATGGCATAGGCAGCTGTGAGAGTCTCCGCCTGCCCTTTCTACTAGGGCTAGCCTGTACATGGCCACTTTTTAAAAAGCCCATTTCCCCTTATGAATAGGCATGATCTGCTTATTAAGACAAGAAGCACTTTCCCCCATCCCTCCCTCTCTTTGTGGTGACTGCAGCGTGTAGCTGCCTGAGCGCAGGGCTGGTAAGTTATGCATGCTGGAGCTGTTCTTTTGTGAAGGGGAGATGTTACAACTTGTGTGATTTGCCATTATGCTGTCTTTTGTGACAATCCCAAGATCGAAAGAAACGTCTGGAGTACTTCTGACAAAAAAAATTTGAAGTCCAAGAAAGGATTCAGCGGAGGATGTTGGTGTGCTTTACGTTTGAGAGAAGAAAGACAAATCATACACTTCAGTGCCCCCACCCCCAAAGCAAAACCATCTTTATACGCACACGGGGATTTTATAAATTCCCAAGTCCCTTCTTCTGAAAATTTATTGCAAAACAGCCATCAAAGTTTCTGAGTAGGGAAAAAAAATCTTCTCTAATACCCACTAACAAGTCTGTGATCTGGATATCGTCCAAAGACAACTTTGTCTAAAATTTCCATTTACAACGGAATCCGAAAGCAAAGTTTAAGTCTTCATATCAAGCACCAAATTTCTGGATCCCCAGTTACTGCTTGCTAAGGAAAAGTGTAATTTTTTTATAAATTACTTTTCAATAATATTTTACATTTTACAAAAAAAATACTGTCATGTATGTTCTGTTAAGAGAAAAATCTGCTGTTCTCAAAAAAACCCCACGAAAAATGTATTTGGCAATTAAAGACATACATCATGAATGTATTTCACCTCTGAAGTGAAGCCCTCGTGTAGAAATGTACTTTGACTTAGGTCTTATCTTCTTAAAGCAAACAGTTGAGTCTCTCCACATACTACTGAAATTCAACTGTATTATTATTATGATAAGAATAATGATTGTCTACATATAAGACTCTAGGGGGAAAATATATTGGAAGTGAATTTGCTTACAGCACAATTAACCTTATGTTAAAAACACATGAACAAGTTTTGCAGGTCAAATAATCCACCACACAAAAAAGGCTGAATTATCAGAATTTGTGCTAGCAATCGGATGTTGCTTTATGTACTGAATTTCTATCTTTCTGTTCTAAAGTAACCATTGGAATAATTTTCTTACAGAATGATAGTTGCTATGACAACCATAGCAAATTTTCCTTTTCTGAAACAGATGTCTCATTTAGTTGAAAATTAGAATGTGAAAAACCCATGGGAAAAATTAATTCAAACTTTAACAGAACACTGACTACAATGTAATCTCTTATAGGTTAACCCCTTAACATCTTTCTGCACTCTTATACTAACCTTCTCATAAATTCTAATTAAACCAATTTAACCTCCTAGGAATGACCTTCTTAGCTATCATTAGCGCTTTAGTTGTCTTTGAAAGGAGCATTTCTGTTACACTAATAACAGAAAAAAGTCATACTAAAAAAAAAGTGGTCAAACATATTACTGCCTTAATTATATATTAATAATTTTTCTTCTTTTATTCATCTACTACTGGAAAGAGCTACCATGTAGCCCAAGAATTCTTTTGTCATTTAAATGGGGCATAACTTAAGTTTTACATGTGATTTACTGTAAAGGGCGGTGATGCACCACACAGATTTGACCTGTAGTTTACGTGAAAATTGAAGGTTTTCAATTTTCAAACCACTCAAACCCATCTCAATCTGCTCAGCAGACATACAAAAAGGGGACTCAAAAAAGGATACTTGACTGGGGAAAACTATCAATGTGCATGGAATTTCTATTACAAGCAACGAGAGAGTGAAATCTGATTCTCCATTATGTTGATTCAATTTAGACGTTTTAACTTAAAAGAACGGACTCCTCCATCTCTGTACACTTACCAGCTCCAGAGGACCCTCCACAGTAGTTGGTCATGAGCTACAGATGAACATGGCAGGCAGCCAGCAGGCAGTCAAATATTCCCACCACAGCACTGCCTGTAGTGCTTGTGGGGTGTCAGCTACCACAAGAACTTCAGGACTGCAAGATTTACTGCATCAGCTGCCTCTAGGTTGTCCAGTTGAATAAGACAAATCCTGCCACCAGCAGGCACGCAATTACTCTCTTTGATTTCAAGGGAAAACTCCCTTGCATAGTCCAGTATACACAGCAAGCTATGGGTGGGAGCTGACTGAATAGCCATTAGCGTATCAAAGGGACTGGTGGGCAGCATCTTGCAAACACTTTAGTAGCAAAAAATACAGAACTAAAACACAATGTGCAGATCATTGTACCTCCTCATTTCTATAAAGTTTCCTACAGAAATCTTTTTTGCATCTGAAAGGCAAGTTCTCTCATTACAATTCCTTTGCT